CGTTCTTTGTTAAGGGCCCCAACAACGCTGCCTGGCCTCTCGCTCGCTGCCGTCATTGAAAGGGAAAAATCGATCTAGCGTTCTATCGATTCAACACCCTGCCCGCCTCCACACACACACACGAGCGACTCTGTTCTTCCTTCTTCCCTCCTTCCTTCTCCCCCCCCCCCTACTCCCTACTCCTTGCTAGCAGCTAGTGCAAGGTCGAAGTCCCTATAATGACGTCCCCCTCGCGTGGGGGCCATTTAAACAGAGGGATCCATCGTGTGGCTTTGTGTGGCGGCTTTCCGTGGCACGGCCAGGGCTAAAACAGTCTCAAGTCCAAGCCTGACAGAGCGAGCGCAGGCGTAATCTTAATCTTACCGCTCAAACCCTCGTCAAGTCCGGTCACATCCTTACGTCGTAACTTTTATACACGCGTCATGAGGGTTGTCTGTGGTGGGCGATTTTTGATCTAGATGTAGACAATATTTTCTAAGTTGAGAAAATACAAATACCGAAATGAATACCCTTCCGTCTAGATATAGGTTCAAACGTTTGTATTACAGCCACTACTGTAACAGCCCAGAGCAAAATTAGACAGAAGCAAATATTATTGTGATATCATTCTTTTTAATGGCTGTAATACTGCAACTCGGCCACATATACAATTAATGGAACATTTGAGTTGACATTAAATATTATTCAAGATTCAAGAATTCATTTCAACACAATAACAAAAGAAAAAATAATCCCGAAAAGAGCACAAGTTGAACAAAAGAAGTAAATGAAGTATTCATGTGACAATATCATATTATAAATTATTTACCGGAGTATGATAATCTTTACCTCCAAGTCCTAGTGTCTCTCCATTCCTTTGTCAGCTTTTCAATGTATTGTAACATTGTTAGATTTTCCATGAATGCTACTATCTTAGAAATGGCGCTAATTGCTTATTTGTAGGTGTTCATTCCAATATGTTTAGCGCTTTTCTGGTAGTTTTTCTTACTCTCATTATGATTATTATCATAACAACAATTTTTTCCATTCCGTCCACAGATTACTTTCCTTTGCACAAAAGGCAGCGGTGCTCGGCTAAACAAAGCTGTGATACGTAAATGGTAAGTTTGTGTGTGTGTGTGTGTGTGTGTGGGGGGAGTGTGGGTATGTGTGTGTGTGATAGAGTGTGTGTTTGTGTTTGTGTGTGTGTGTGTGTGTGAGTGTGTGTGTGTTCGTGTGTGTGTGTGTGTGTGAGAGAGAGAGAGAGAGAGAGAGAAAGAGAGGGGGGGATAAAAGAAATCAGACAGACATACAGGCAGACAGAGACTGACAAACACTGATGTATAAAGACGAAGAGAAACACACCACATTTGAATTAAGGGAACGGTGCAGGTAAACACACATACATTGCACATACTTTACAAATATAGATATCTAAAGAACAATGGAGGTCGAGGATATGCGCCTTCCTTACAAGTTACAACTTACTACATGTATCGATCTAGAAATAATTACGAACATTGGTTTTGTTTACTTTAATCTCTCGCCAAGACTCAGATTTTCAAACCGTATAGCGATTCACACAGTAGTATTATGGTGGTGTGTGTTTTTCTTTTGGGTTTCGTTTACAAAAGCTTGATGATCAACAAACCAGCGTCTTGTGCGTAGAGATCTGGACTGTAGAGCGCACAGAGTTTGCTGTTGAGTGGGAAGTATCCATGCGCTCTACAAATGCTATTTACTACTATTAATATCATGATTATTTCTGTCCTTGTTGTTGCCCGAAAAACGGCGTAGATAAATCTAGATTTAGATCTCCCCCTAGACGGTCAGAGAGAGTAAGAACGTATAGATCTCCCCCTTTCCACTTCGTGCACCCAGTTTTGAAAAGCGAGCCAGTCGCCTGCCACTTAAGACGGCCCTTTAAATGACCCAGTTCCGCCACAACGGGACTGTCTAGCGTGTATTGATCCACGCCAGGTGATCGGAAATCGATTCGGGTGCGATACGCGCATGCGTGTGTTGACAAACACAGTTGATCAATGAATGGGGCGGCCAGTGAATGAAGTGAAGTACGTAGTGCTGTTACAAGAGGGGAGGGGGAAGGGGTGAGAGGGCCCGCCAAATTCGGTTCTTGGCACGGACAAGGAGTGAGGTGTAGAGAGAGAGCGTCAGTCAGAAATCAGAGTCGCAACTTTTATATAACAACGTTCTTTGCGTCGTCTTGCCTGAGCGTGTGTGCCGAAGTAACCGGGTTCGCTTGAGACTGTGTGGCCGCTTGAGTTTAGATTCTGCTGACCACTGCGTCGTCGGTAACTACTGACTGACCACTGACCAACCACGCAGAGAGAGAGAGAGAGAGAGAGAGCGAGAGAGACCCACGCGACGCGTTGCTAGCGGTCATCATGTGTGCTCGCTGACCGGCGTAGTCAGTCCGCCCATCACCCTGCGATGCTTCTTCTTCTTCTCCTCTTCACCTCCCCCCACACACCACACACCACACACCGCCCTGTTTGGTCATCTCGCTTGACGGTTCTCGTGTTCACAGATCTACTGACCGCTGACCGGTCTCGGTGGTGATGCTATAAGACTGACAGAAGTCTCTAGACCTGTGTCTCTTTTAGCCTAGGACCGAATTTTCATCTCTTGGTCCGAGCTAGGAAGTAAGCCCGCGAAACAGGATTCTTCAGGTCATGAATTGTTTGCGGTAATTTCGATGCTGATGTAGGATTCTCGCGGCAAGTCCTGGCTTGTTCAGAAGAAACCAGAGGAGAAATTTCCCCGGTTGTCGCCCTTGCACCGTGCCCGGGACCTGGGAAGCGCGGGCCGCTGACGTCATCAATCAATCAACTGTGGGCGGGATTCAGGCAGCCAATGAGAGCCCGCTAGTGGTCACGTGAGCGAATCTGGTCGCGGAATAAAGCTGTTGTGTGCCCCAGGTCTGTAGTATAGTACGTCGGCCGCTCCGTGGAGTATCTGGTGGAGGTTTGCGCGTACAACTGTGTGGAAACGTATTTGGACTTGCCCTTCCTTCAGCTTTGTTTATGTTGTGGAGGGAACTTGGATTATAACAACATTCGTTTTTTTGTGACTGAGTGTTTGTGCATTTTCAGGAGTTGCATGTGGTTCTGATCACATCTGAGCAACTACAACTGTGTTTTGAATACAATGTCGGCGAACATCACAGACTTACCTCGCCTCGGCGATGGTTGTAAGCGACCCCCAGTTCGGCGTTGTCTCTTCGGGAGACCAAATCGTGAGAATTTGGATCGTAACCTCAGTGTTCAGGAGAATTTACTCACCCAAGAGAACGATGACACCAAACGTTTCCGCGAGCGTTGGGGTTTTGACCCCGCGTTAGGAAAACCCATGGAAGGTGGAGACTTCGAGTGCACACCCGTGGACATCCAGTCCGTCCCCAGCTTCTACTCTAAAGGATATCCTCGCCGTAAGACCAAACCCTGCAGTCGATCTATGCGGGAAAGTAGCAGGAGCCCCAACATGATGAACAACAGCCTGAGCAGGCTACGATCTTTCCTCGATGTTTCCCTCAACAACAATAACAGCAACAACAACAACAACATCAACAGTGACGTGAATCCGCTGTCGATCGTGAGGCCGTCGGTCAAGCGTCGGCTGCCCCTGGATTGTGACAGTGTGAATGATGAGAATCAGCAGAATGTTCTTCCTTCCTCTGTGTCTGTGTCAGGCGACAGGTCAAGCAGCTCTTACAACAGCAACAGTCGTGTTCCGATGCCAACAGACCCTGTGGTCACTAGTGGAGTACACACCCCGGCCTCATCTGTAGAATCCTCACCTTTATCCGACTCCTGCCCGTCACCTCTTTCTCTCAGGGACTTAGCGTTCCGAACCCCTCAACACCAGACCCTTGTCAAAGGTAGGTTACTAGATTCTAGATCTAGATCTATATAGATCTATCTAGATCTGAAAGTCAGGGGGTTTTCTTCGAATATCCAAACGAAGCTTTTCAAGATTTAAATTACAGTAACATCTTGATTGAGATCTGTAGGACTCCAGTCAACACCGAGGTTTAGATCAGGTAGAGTCTAGAGATCTAGATCTAGATCTATATCTATCGAGAAATCTTAATTCTAGCCTAGAAAAATCTAGAATCTAGATATCTAGATCTAGTAAAGATCGTGTCCGGGGCGAAAACGAGCGACCTTTTCTCCAACTCGTTAAGAGATTGGATGATTCGGAAATGATTCCATTTCCCGGTTAATTTTCTGACGTAGCCTATAAATTACAGATCAAGGCCCGCGGATAATGTCAGCAGATAGAATCTAGGTTTTTTTCTAGATCTAGATCTAGAAGACTTGAGGGGAAACTTGAAGTGGAAGTCATTAACTTTAAAAAAATCTGTCTCGTGGTTTTTCAATTTTGGGGTAATTTTTGCTAGACAGTTCGTGTGACACACCACCACCCAAGCCATAGCTCACACAGTGCCCTTTTCCCCGACTGTCGTACAGACGGGTTCGGGTTGATATGATTATGGAGGAGTCAGAATAACGCTAATTTTCAGTCTTGGTCCTAGTCTTAGGGTTAAAAACGAATAAAAAATAGTCATTTTGAACTAGATTCTAGATCTAGATCTAGATCTAGATCTCTAGATCTAGATCCAGACTCAGAGTAGGATTTTAGTCTAGATCTAGATATCTAGTTTTCATGCAGCGGCTAACATAATGTGTCGGAAATAAATTTAATTTTATTGTTTGGCAAAAGAGCATGATTGATATTTTCTGTTCTGATCATTGTTTTGTAGTTTGAAATATAGATCTAGATCTAGATTCTAGAATCTAGGAGCTTTTTATTCGTTATTTCCTCGATCTGTATAGTGATTTTTCCAATATAATTGCACTTTACAATTTTTCATATTTTCTAATGTAAATATAGATCTAGAATCTAATCTAGAGTCACGATCTAGATCTAGATTCTAGAATCTAGATCTAGATTTAGATCTAGATATATTAGATCTAGATTCTAGATTTGCACGTTTTTATTATTTTTAAAACTATTTTCCTGTTACAAGTTAAAAAAATCGACTTCATCATTTCATGTCTCAGCATGATGAACAGAAGTAAATAGATCTCTACATGTAGAATCTACAAACAATTGAACATTGTTGAGTTCAAATTGTAGTTTACAGAACTCTAAATAGATCTAGATCTAGATCTAGATCCAGATCTAGATATTTAATATTACTAGATCTATAATTATTATAAATTATTGTATTGCGTTAGAATGAAAAATCTATCTAGATTAAGATCCAGATCCTAGTTAGGCTAATACATTTTCATCCGGTTCCGTGAACATTTCACCTGAGACTAGAATCTAGACTCTTCTACGTCATTGTTTGTGTAATTTCACGAATTGAGAGTTGTAATTATAAAACCAGTCGGCTACTAACCAAGAAGATGGCTATCCTGAGCTGTCCATAACTGATAGCGTTCGTCCCGTCGTTTAGTGGTAGCTTTTGGGTCAGCAGAATAAATCATCTAGATTAGATAGATCTCGACTTGTAGATGTTGGCGGTGTGTGTGTGTGTGGCGCGAATATTGTGCTTGCCTGGTAAACCTAGAGCCGACCTGCCCAGTCCCATCCTCGAGTTTCGCGCCCATTGTTTTGTCCGTGCTTACTAATTATAATACGCGGTAAATACCGCTCTCTCCTGATCTCTCTCTGAGTCTCTCTTTCTGTCTGTCTCTCTCTCTCTCTCTTTCTCTCTCTGGCTATCTTAGTCTCTCCCCTTCTATCTGTCTCTGC